GGTTCCTTGTAACTTGAGCACTCTACTTAACATTTTAAAGAAACCGAATCTGATGGCAGCAAGGAAAACATCCATTTGACAAAGTCTTCATGCCCTGTTCCCTTTCTTGGCATTCGCCTTGCAGATCCTCTACCGCCCGTGAGGTTTGAAGTCAAGAAAAAGCAGAGCACTCCAGCCAGTTTGCAGGTTTGGTGGGCTCCTTCTCCCGGGACAGTCACCTGGTATGAGGTGCAGTTGTTCAATGACAAGAACCAAGAGATCCAGAGGGCGCAAGTTCAAGGCAATACTTCACAGACTGCGTACACTTTTCCTAACCTCACTGCTGGTAATAAGTACAGTATTGCCATCTTAGCTGTTTCTGGAAATAAACGTTCGTCTACAATTTATACCAATGGATCCACAGGTAAGAGGTGGTACAGGTGGTTGGGTATTGTTTGTGATTCTTCTAAAGGGATGTTTTATTCAAGGGATGGGAATGGGGATGAGGATGCCCTGCCAGACACAAAAGGAGGGAGGGCAAGGCTTTGTGAACCAGTGGAAAGACTGTACTGAAAATAATGAGGCATGTTGTGCTGTCAACTTGCTTTTTAACAAACCATAGAATCTTGCTTTCAAAGAAGTCCTTGCTCCCTGATGGCTTTTCTGATTCAGATGCAAGGCCACAGGCTTTGTATGCCTTCGTTTATAAGCTTGTGCCATAAAACATTTAGAAAATGTGTCCCTCCTTTCTATATCCTTCCATAACATCAACTCATGATGTTTCCTAAATATTCCTATATTTGAAACAAATCTTGCCCCTTGACGTGGTGTGAAGTCAGTCACCTCCTGCACTTACACATCTTACCAATGGCACCTCCTCACTTCCTTGATCTTTCTTATCCGTCCCAATCCCCTTTTTCTCTCTCTCTTTTCTCTGCCTCCCTCTATTTTTCATCTTATCTCGTTCTTTCCTTTTTCTCTTCCATTTACTACTACTACATCATGTCACACATTATTTGCAAAAGTTATCTTTAATACCTACTAGGTAGTATTTTCAATGATATAAACTATATATGTGGACCTCTCCAGATGGAATACACAGAAATCAAGTTGATTACATCATTCAGAAGAGACAATGGAGAAACTCACTATCAACAGCCAAACCAAGACCAGGGTCTGACTGCTGGACAAACCATGAGTTGTTCCTATTTAAGTTCAAGTTGAAGAAAATGAAAACAAGTCCACGAGAGCCAAAATATGACCTTGAGTATATCACATTTGAATTTTGAGACCATCTGAAGAACGGAACACAAATGATAGAAGAACTGTTGAGCTGTGGGATGGTTTCAAGAACATCATACACTAAGAAGGAAAAAGGTCATTAAGAAGAAAGAAAAGATCAAAGTAAAGGTCAGAAGAAAATCTGAACCTTGCTCTTATTCACAGGGAAGTTAAAGGAAATGGAAGAAAGGATGAAGTCAAAGAGCTGAACAGAAAACATCAGAGGCAGCTCAAGAAAACAAAGTGAAACATTATCATGTAATGTGTAAAAACCTAGAGTTGGAAAACCAAAAAGGAAGAACACACTCAGCTGATATAACTCACGAAAAAAGCCAAGCCTCCAGCTGTAATATTGAAATATTCCATGGAAAAATATTGACTAATGCAGGAAGCATCAACAGACGATGAAAGGAATACACAGAGTCACTGTAACAAAAAGAACTAGTCAACTTTCAACCAGGCCCAGGGGTAGCATATGATCAAAAACAAATTGCACCAAAGGAAGAAGTCCAAGCTGCACTGGAGGCGGTCTCCAAAAACAAAACTCTAGGAATTGATGAATACCAATTAAGATATGGCAATACACACTGGATACATCC